ATTCTACTACAGATGCATTTCTATCAATTAAATGAATAAAACACTTAACAGAAATAGATGATAACTACAAATTCATTTAGAAAATTGGTGGTGAAAGTTATATCATTTGATATTAGAAAGATTACAAGGCTTCATCACGTTTCTACAACATAAATGATTTCATTGTAGACATTGAATCTCATTGGTCTAAAGTAAATTTGTATAAGAATGATTTCCACAATGACAAGGCAAGAATCCTGCTATGTGGGTTTAAAAATAGGGCCAGCCCGGTGGCGCAGCAGTTAAGTGCACACGTTCCGCTTCGACTGTCCGGGGTTTGCCAGTTCAGATCCCAGGTGTCGACATGGCACTGCTTGGCACGCCATGCTGTGGTAGGCATCCCACATATAAAGTAGAGGAAGGTGGCCACAGATGTTAGCTCAGGGCCAGTCTTCCTCAGTGAAAAGAGGAGGATTGGCAGCAGTTAGCTCAGGGCTAATCTTCCTCAGAAAAAAAGTAAAAGAATGTAAGAAGGTGAGCCAGCCCTGATGGCCTAGCAGTTAAAGTTCAACACACTCTGCTTTGGAGGCCTGGGCTCATTCCTGCACATGAAACCACAACACTCATCTGTCAGTAGCCATGCTGTGGCAGCAGCTCACATAGAAGTATTGGAAGAACTTACAACTAAACACAACTATGTACTGGGACTTTCAGGGGGGAGAAAGGAAGGAAAAAAGGAGGAAGATTTGCAACAGATGCTGGCTTAGGGTGAATCTTCCACTGCAAAAAGAAAGTAAAAAGGCAATGCTACCCCAACATGTACCACATTATGCTAGATTCAGCTAAGTTTATCATGACTTAGAAAGCCTACGTCCTCCCTTACTACTCTTAGAGTACTGCAAGTACACTCCTCAAGACATTTGTACTTGCTGTTCCCTCTTCCTGGCATGCTCTCTCCTGAGATATTCACATGGCTTACTTTTCTACTTCTTGCAGTCTCTCCTCAAATGTCCTTTCCTCAGAAAGAGCCTTCTGGACCACAATAAAATAGCAGCCCCACCACTGGCTATCAACTTACCCTGCTTTATTTTTCCCAGTACATTTATTACTACGTGACACACATTAACTGATATCTGTTTCTACTGCCACATCGCCTTCCAAATGTAACCCCCTTGAAGAAAAGGAACTTGTTTTATCCCAGTGCCTCAAATAGTGTCTGGAACATTGTAGGAAATATCTGATGAATGAATGACTCTTTATGTCCCTAAATAATTGCAATTCTGTTATCTCTTGTTCCAACATTTGGCATTTGAAAGAGTTAATCACTAAAGACATATACTCCTTACACTTTCTCACATGAGTTTAGGTTTCTCTGTAGAGGGAAGCATAATAACCTACGAAGTGGATATTTTCTCCTATTTCTTATTTCTTATGTGTTTTTCCTGTTTTCTATCTGCTTTTGGACTCTGTGCTGTTCCTCTGCATCACATATGGATTACTATTCTCCGAGCACATTTTTCGCAAATATGATTTTATATGCTAGTTTGGTAAAGAAAATGTTGATGTGTCATTCAAATCTCCTCTTTGCATTCATTGGCGCAGCAAGGGAAGAGTCCCAACCCCCAAACACACCCCCATGGCAGCACACGCCACTCTTCAGTGTTGGAAGGATGGTCGGCTTCCCTCTTATCAGAACATCATGCAAGGAAAGCCAGGTGAGGGAAAAGAGTGCCAAGAGAACTTTGACTCCTTTTCGGAAATCTTTTAACTTGTATTCGTCTGTGTTGTGAACATCTATAACCCCGTTAAGCGAAACATCAAGGATTCAATGGCTAACATTTCAGAAAATGTTGACACAGTGGGCACATTTTGAGAAATCAAGAGCCTATTTCTAAAGAGCAAATCAAGAAGCAGATTCAAAAGCACATTGGGTGAAATGACCAATCTGTTTACCCTCTGCTGGAGCCCTTTCAGAGCAGCCTAGCTTATCAGTGAGCTGAGCTACCAGCAACATAGACACCAGAGGGAAAAATAGACAACTCGTTTTCCTTCCAAAGTGGTGAGAGCGCAGAAGTGACTCTCACCGCACTCAACTCATTCTGTCATCCTTAACTTGAGAGAATAACTTATTTCTCTCTCAAAGATAATACTGTCAATGTAACATGTCACAACTAGGCAGGCTTCTGAAGTGCTTTGAAAAAATAGTATTCTGAGACTACTCAAGGTAAAGAGTCCTTAAACAACTTAATATACATATAGATGACAGAAGACTTAGCATACTGCTCTGATATACGGTTCATTTGGGACAAGACACGTGGAGAAGTCTGTATTGTGCTGCAGAGACACAAATGCCCAGATATGTTCTTCTACACAAAGGACTGATAAATGTATAATTAAACAAAGTAAATGTTTTAGAAGTTCATTTAGAAAAGAGAGAAGGCATATGTCAACCAAATAGCACAGGTTTTTACGACATGTTGCGAATTATCAGCAAGAACCCAGTAAAAAGGAATGTTCACACGTCATGTTTGATGTCAAATTCCTTGACACCGTGAGCACATAGACTCAATTGTCCTCTGAGGTCTGCACTTTGATACTTCAAAGACCATTCTGGATGGTACCATCTGACAGAAGATAGCCTCAGGTCAAAGCATTGCCAAGTTGGGATTCCCAAGAATACTTCTTCTTTCCCTGACCCCCTAGTATCTTTTTTTGAAATTTTCTAATTGTGAGAATGTCTCCAAAAAGGAAACCAAAAAGTTTGAAAATTTATGAAATCATTATAGTTGATGACGAATATTGCCTTACTTATTATTTCCCCAGAATGACAGTTTGTATTCTGGGAACCCTGTGGTGTACACTATTACCTGAATGTTCATCTGATATCAAAATTCTTTGAGTCTACTTCCGCATAATTCCTGTCCAGTTGCATGATTTAATAAATGAGACCTTTTGAATTATGCATACATGTACACACCAGGTACTGTGGAGAGACATTTTTTAAGGTTCAGTTTTCGAAGGAAAGATTTTAAAACCTTCTGCTTCAGATAAGAGTGTAAACCTTTGGAAGACTGGTATCTTTTAGAAAACATGAAGTCTAAGAAAGAAAAAAAATACAACTATTAAAATGCACATACACTGCTGGCTGGCGCTGTTGTGACAGCCAGCAGTATCAGCGTCAGTCAATTATCTTCACAAATGCCTCTTGTGCTAATGAGCACTCACAAAAATCAGCAGACTTTTCTGGCAAGGAGAAAAGATCAGTTTCATTGCTTGCAGAACTAATTCAGGGTACAAAAGTGAAGGCTCCACCATCGCTGCCTCTTTTACTGCTCCTTTTGTAAAGGCTTTTGATGTGTACTGAAGAGCTGGGCCTGTGTTTGGGCCTCTTCATCTCCAGTTCATTGCCTGCCATTAACATACATATCCATATGAAAAGTTCGGTAAGTCACTAACAGCTGTCCAGAAAGGAGTTTGAGAAGGAAGGGGAAAAAGGACCTATTCCTTCTCAAAATGCTGACAATACTATTTAGCCCCTTTTTGGCAATGATATACCTAACGTTTTAAAGCCGCCTTTCACTCAAAAAGGGACTAGGCATAATACAACATTCAAACACATAGTGGTTTTTCATTTTGAAACAGTCATTTGCTGTATTCAGGAAAAAAAAAGTCTATAGTTACCAGATGCAAGGGAAATCCATCATTCATGATACATATGTATATGGTGGGCACACACACACACACACACACACATGCTATTCCATATTGTTTTTGTAGGATGCTAAATAACCACACATCTTCCATTTAACTCAGAGAAAAACCCCCTGTAGCAGATGCTCATGAGAGGTTTTATGCTCATTGCCTTCTTCAATTTATGATGCTGACAGTTATCTATGGTCAATTTGTTATTAATGGATACTGTGTTAGTAAAAGAAGGTACTATCAAAGTTGTGTCATAAAATTTTTTTAAAAATTAATAATTTCTCTCTAGATGAGTTGATGAAAACTCCTTTCAGGAAAAAAAAGGACAAGTCATAAATTTATAGGTCCTAGTTTTGAACATGGAGGATTCGTATTACACCTTTTCAAGTTTAAGACCATTTAAGAGAGCTGCATAACTGGATGATTTTGTCATAACATTTATGGTAAATAATTCTTAAAGAAAGTGATAAAGATCCGCTAATACGCATCTTACAAGAGGGAAATAGCTTTCTTTTAAGAAGAGGTTCTGAAGGCCAGAGTGGGAAGAAATAGATTTAAAATTAACGAAAATGGGTACTTCCCCATCATTTGGTCTGTTGCTTAGTTTCTCTAAACTGAGGAAAAAAGCATGTGCTGGATAAATGCTTTTCCTCCCAACCCCCTGGAGTTCATGACCCTGGGGCCATCTCCAGGCACACACTGCACCCAACATTCGCTAGGCCAGAGCTTGAAAATGAGGGTAGGCAAACCTGTGTCAATGACAAAGGTTTGACATCGTTTATAAGAAGGATCTTTCTTTCTTTTCTTTTCTTTCTTTCTTTCCTCCTCTCTAAATCAGAATCAAAGTGCTAGGGAAAACTACTAGCTCCCAATTTTGCAAAGATTTTATTCCTGTAAGGATCCTCCCACCATGCAGAAACAGCTTGTGCTATATAAAAACCAAGACTTTAATCCCACTTGTTGCTCCCGCCACTTTTTTTCCAGTTTCTATTCTCTTTTCGGCAGCCTCTCTCCCAGCCCAGGCACTAAAAATCTTTAACTTTGCCTATTTTGATCTGAAAATTAAATCTTATTTATTATGCATCCTGTTTGTTGTCCTTGAAGAACCCCAGCATTCATTTAAAGGGGTCCAGAATGACTTCTTAAACACATTTCTCTCTTTGCTGCAATTAAACAAAGTGGAGCTGTGATTAGTCCTCCACAGGGGGGAAAGAAAAAGACACCCTTGAATCAAAATGGGGGGACCTGGCTGGGCATTATTGCCTCACAATGCGGGAGTTTATTGCTGAAACCTGCTTATCCCCCAGCTCCGCGCTCCATGGGAACTGCGGTCAGGTGGAAAGTGATTCTGTTCTCTGCCGAGGCGGCTTGAAGTGTCGTAAGACCCGCTAAAGTCCTAAAGCCCTTCCTCGTAACTGAGACATTTAGGATAATCTTTATGGGAGTTTTGCATGAGCTTCTGCTTTTTGTTGCACTTAGAAGGAGAGTTAATGATGAGCTTTCACTGGCTTCTCCCCCCCCCCCCTTTTTTTTTAAATCTAAGCCCAAAAGCGCCTGTTTAAGTTAAGTACCACCTCCCTCCAGCCCTTGGGAAACCACTCAAGAGGGCTTTGCTTGGCTCTGTGTTCATGACACATAATGAAAACAATTTTACGCTGTGGAGGGAAGTATTGGGCAATTACTGATGTAACAGCCACCTGCAGTAGCGAGCCCTGGCTGCAGCATTGCGAGGTTCATGAATATTTTATGGTGTGATGTTATTTTGAATGGCTGGGGCAGGTGAAGGGGGCCCCAAGGGTGTAATAAGTAACTCTGCTGGAGGCTGTGTAGCTGCTCTGTTTCCCTGCAGAGCCCACTGTGTAACACCAAGAAGCATCCTGACCCTGCCTGGATCGACGCGAGGGCAGCTGAGGCTGAGGCAAGATGCTCTGACAAGTCACGGTGGGCACCCCTTACAAACCCTTGTCTGCCGATTTTACACACGATGTCCAGCTTGAAAAGCCCCGGCATCAATCTTGTCTGATTTAATTTGATAAATTAAGTGTGGATAAGGATTAAATGAGAATTTTGTAATGGAGAAAACTTGTCTTTACTCTTTAATCCAGTTAAGATAGTATGGGAGAAACCCTATAAAATATAAAGCAATAGCTAGAGAAAGCAAAGTAAAAAAAAAAAAAAAAAAAGAAATGACAGAGAATCGCTTGTCACTTGTGTGATATTACGTTCCTATAGATATTGAACAAAAGTGCTACTCTTGTTTTTCTGCTTTCTGGTGTTTGCATGTTAAATACATGCAACCTGTGTACATACATCCGTACCATCATACGTGCATATTTTATGGAGGGCCTAGAAATACAGGAGAGAAATACGGATTGCCACATGTTTTACATCATAAAATTCGGCTACTGAGAATTGTTGACGAATAGATGGAATATTTTGAGTATCACTTCCTTTCTCAAATGTTATTTTCCTAACAGGAAACATCAAGATTTAAACTGAGTATCACAGCATAAACAACATATTTCCAGCATTCAGACTCTGTGATTCTTCCTATCGGTATATTTAAGATTTCAGGTACAAAAATCATATTGTATATGACCAAGATACAAACAGTATAAAAATTATTTTACATGACAGGTATATTTCTATGGAACAGAACAGGAAGAACGAACACTAGTTACCTAGACAGTTGATGGAAATTCAAAACAATACCCTGTGAGATCTATGAAAATTCTTTTTAATCTGTGTGCATGCATTTTTAGAATGCTAGAGTGTGCTTTTGAAGAAGAGCCTGGGGAGGTTGCACATTAGACGTCGGGCTGAATAGCTTTGTCATAGAGAACATGCTTAGAAAAAGATACAAAAGATTTGCAGAATCCTTGGACGCAAATTGGCACAGAGAACAGAAATCCTGAACAGAAACATAGAAGGAAAATGTAGCAGACTAGACATTCTGAGAATAATGTGGGGCAACAGAGGAATTGCCAGAGTGACAATTTAAAGATTATAAAAGATACTGTTTAATTTTTGTAAGTGGTAGTTTTATAGGTATGCTCATAACATTTCATAACATTAATTTAGAGCTTGTACCAGAATGAAATAAAGTGGTGATATGTTAAATTTTCCACTTTAACATTCACCTTCTAGTAGAATATTGAAGTACCACTGCTTCCAATGGTTGACAATCCTATTTGCACTTCAAAAATGACAAAATCAGGATGACAAAAATGATAAGTGTTTCTGCAATCTGGGCATGAGCCACTTTATCAAATGGCAGTACATTACCTAAATTCTAATAATCTTATTATTTAATATTGGTGTCACTATCTAGTGTGTCCATTGGAAGAATTGTCTCAGCTTACTTGAACATGCCATCTATCGTCTATACGTAAGGTCCGATGGCAGTCCTTTTTAAAATATTGGTACTTTTCATTAACAAAGAGGAAATGATGATATCAGATGATCTTGATAAATCATGTCCCTGTGAGTCACCTCTCTCCACAAACAGGTTGAGTTCAAGAGTAAATGTAGTAAAATACCAAAGTGTTAATATAGTAATATTAATAGAAATTAACATATATTCAAGAAATTCCAAAATATTTAATTTTGTCTTACTATATGTATTTTTTCTGCCTCATAATGTATGTTAAAGGTGCCCTGATTTAGCAATTTTATAAAGATCAAATTATAAACATGCAGTAAATTTCAGATTCTTGTAATTAGATTTTTAGCTTAAGAGATGTTAAACTCTGTATGTAAACGACATTATTTAAAAGCCTGTCTTCTAAAGGAAAATTGCTGTTTGACAATTCTATAGAATATTCAAGAAAGGTAATTATACTGCTCTGGTTGTTAAAGATGCAGGTGTTGAATAAAGTCACTGCTTCAGCTTTTGCGGAAAACTCCAGTGAGGGCGAGAAAGGAGACATGATGATCTGACTTCATTGCCAAATCTTTATTGTCAGAATATCGGAATATTGGTTCCCATCGTCTCCCTCTCCTTTCATGGGTAATACAATAACGATCAGAAGGAAGATTCCCATCCAACCCACCAATGCAGGGAAACTGTGATGAAGGAAAATAGAGTTCCCTGTAAAATTCATATGTGCACTGCTATTTTCAAATCAGATAGAGAAATAAAACATCAACAACAAAAGAGAGGGCCATTCAAAAAAAAATTAAAGGCCACAGAATAAAATAAGGACAAGAAAATGGCCACAGTAAAAATTTGTCTTGACTGACCCAGTTTGACAGAAATGCTTATGGCCTTTACACTCATTTATTTACTCAATACAGGTAACAGTCCTAGAAGCAAATATAATTTTGAGAATCACAAATTTAATTAAAATCTCAACTAAATTATTTAATTCAACTCTTAATGTCTTGTAATATTAAGAAATGTTGGGCCTAGGGAAGCCCTAAATGTCTTTATTTTATTGAAGAGTAAAACAATTTTCATGGACAGTCGGATGTAGGACACCAAATGTGCATACACACACCCACCCCCCCACACTCACACACACCTACACAAACACATTCTGAGTGGTCAGCGCTATTGGAAAGGATGTTCTAAGGGATTTGAATCCCTCAGCTCAACAGTAACCAAACGGCTTTTCCTGAGTTTGAACACATATAAAGTTTCTGAAAGACGTTTACGTCATCCCTTCAATATTAGATGAGGAACAGAAGTTAACAGATCGTGGGTCAATAAAAAGACAAGGTAAACACAAAGATTTTAGGTTTGGGGCACTTCATTCTCCTTTTGACCTTTCCCAATGCTTTTAGAACAGATACTTAAAAGTTGTGTTTGCATTGAAAAAGAAAAGGTGGCTGCCACTATTTTTAAACTCCCTAACCTATTCCCATATTTTTAAAAGAAATTTAAGCAAAGAACAAGAAAGTCACACCATTTTCTCTTACTCCTGCCTAAAACACACCCCATCATTCTCATCCCCTTAATTTTACTAAAGGTCTTTTGTCTTCAATCTCTTTCCCATGAGAGTTTTGTATCTTCTACAAAACAGCTGACGTCCCATCCCTTCTATTCATCTTTTTTCAGTGTCTCCAGCCACTGAGCTCCTATAGTACTTACTGCTTATCTTTTAATTGATGTGAACTTGCATCATTAATTAACTCTTTCAAATACATGCATAGACTACAATACAAATGGCGCCCCCTAGAGTTGTGTAGCACGGTGGCCCTTGAGCGCATGGATCTCTGCTCGGTAGCATAATTCCTAGCTCCTCAATGGGAAAGGGTTCATTTGTCACACCCCCACCTCCTTGCCATGCTTCCTTAGCACTCTTCCTATATAACTGACGATCAATTAAATCAAACTCCCCAACTTGAAACTACTTCATTGTCCCTCTTTCCATTTTTGTATAGCAGACTAGGTTCACAAAGTGCTCTCCACAGCTAACAGCTGCTTGATTCCCACCACAACTTTGTCAGAACAGCAGGGAAAGACTTTTATCCTGATTTCACTCATTAGGGAATTGAGGCTCTGAAAGTGGCTGCATCTAGACTTGAACTCTGTCCTCTTGACTCCCAGTCCAGTGCCCTTCCTACTCTTGCATACAGCCTCTCTCTTTGGTGCCTGTTTTCACACAGTTGAGTCAAGAATTTGACTTAAAGAAGTGAAAAGCAACTGCATACTGGCCAAGGCGGGGTTTGGGGATGCTGCTTGTCCTAGGCTGGGGCAGTGAATCTGAAGCAAAGGCAGTGACAAAAAGGTTGCTGCTATATTGTGTTTCTTGAAAAGCGGCTGAAGTCAGTGCTGGGCAGGGTGGGGCTGAAGGAGGGAGTAGGACAGTATTGTGGTTGATGGACTGGATGATTCAAGGATCCTTTGAAGCAAGTAGGTCTTAGAGCTCTCCAACTACCTCTTAGTGACACCTATTATTGAAAAAAAAAAAAACCTCCCAGGGGAATGTAGACATAATGGTGACACCTTTAGACACTGGGTAGTTTACCTGCTCATGAATAGAGTCTGAGAAACTTGATGGGCAGAAAATTTGAAGCTTCTGCTATGGTACTTACACAGAGGAAACTGGCTTTCGGCTAATGACAAAAACATGTTGGTTATGATTTCTCCTTTGAAGTCCAGCTTCCCCAAAACAAGACTTCAGGAAATAGCATGTAGGTGTCATGAAGTTTTTATTAACCTGTAGAGAGCAGCTGGCCACTAGGATTTACTTTAAATCTTGTTAGGACAGAGGAGCTGTACCATTTCACGTGAACATCCTTAGTCTACACTATACCAAAATTCCTAGTACATTCTGTGGTTTTCTGGAAAATGCAAGTCCTACTTCTCAGAACTTATCTCACCCCACCTTTGCCCATGTTCAATACACATCAGCCTCACAGATTATTCCTGTTCCTCAAACATTTGAAATTGGCCCCAGCCTTGGGTCTTTGTACTTGCTGTTCCCATGGAGGGGAATACTTTTCTCTGGGCCATCTTGCCCACCCTGTCTTTTTCTCCAGGTTTCAGATGGAAAATCACTCCTCAGAGAGAGATCTCTTTACAGTAGCCCCTCAACATCTTATTGCAGTTTTCAAAGCATCTTATTTCACTTTCGTGGTAACAGTCATGACTACCTGAAATCCTTTGTTTACCTTTTAATGTTTTTCTTCCCGTGTTCCGTGAGAGTCTTGTCTGTATTTTTTAAAAACAGATTTTAGTTTTTAGGATGGCTTTAGGTTTATAGGAAAATCAAGCAGATAGTACAGGAAGTTCCCAAGTGTCACCCACCCACCTCCCTCCCTCACACACAGTCTCTCCTATTATTAACATCTTATATGAGTACCAATATTGATACGTCATTATTAACTAATGTTTACTGTTTATTCATATTTCCTTAGTATTTACCTAATGTCCTTTTCTGTTCCAGGATCCCATCCAGGATAACATATTACATTTATTGTCATGTTTACTTGGGCTGCTCTCCGCCGTGCGACAGTTTCTCAGACTTTCCTTATTGTTAGCCTTTTTGACTGCTGACTGCCAATGCTGAGAATAGCGCCTGCCATATACCAGGTACTCAAAATATTTGCTGAGTGTGTGTCAATGAATTAATAGCTTGAGTGAGGAATTCACAATTAGTATTATATTACTTTGCATTTGTTTAATACTTACAATTTACAAAATGCATTCATTTATCTTATTCACTCTCCTAAGAATCCTGTGAGGTGGGCCAGGGGACATGTATTATGCCCCATGAGACCTAAGGTTCAGAGAAGTTAGCGAGTTTTCTCTAGTATAGGAATCTTGGGGCTGCATTCTACGTTCCCTGATGATCCTATTCTTTCTACTACCCCAGTGGAAAGCATGGACCTAGAAAGAAAGTAACAATGGAGTCAATTTTATCCCAGGTGGTAGGTAAATCAAATCGTCTATAGTCTCCACTGAAAGACAACACAACAAAACTTGAATAAACAAGCACAACATATATCAAATAGATGATAGATAGGTAGGTAGATAAATAGATAGATAGATAGATAGATAGATAGATAGGGATTCATCCTTGACTGTAAAATTTAGGTTGAATTGACTTTACAGATGTATTTTTTTCAACAAACACCTAACCTTGAATTTGTTGAGTGAATGTTTAACGACTCTTGATTGTAGGTACATTGTTAAGGTTTAATTGGAAGATATAATTTATTAGCCTAAGGCAAAACTTTAAGAGGCATCATAGTAGAATTGCTGTAGCTTTGGTAGAACATGTTTTACTTGTTCATCTCAGTAAAGGCAATAGTTCGTGAGATATGAGTTATAAAATTACTTACTTTCTGGTGTGATAGAACAATCAAATGTTTAGAAGATAGAAATCTAAATTCTAAGGTTTTCATAGGAATTACTTCTTTATTGTGAATAATTGTATGGCCTCTTGCAGCTGGACGGGACTTCTGTAATTTCACCCTCTCATTTCACAAGTGAGGATGCAAAAGCTGAAAGTGACTGAGTAGCTTCCCAAAGTCAACACCAGGCTGATGATAAGAGGAAAGTTTTGATCTTAGGTATTTTGGCTTCCATTCCAGTGTTCTCTCACTTCATCGAATTGTGTGTCTAATACCTGAATCAAAGGAGTTTGAATTGAGTTGTTATTCTAATAATAAAGCTTGGCTCTTTAATGTAAATGTAACCATTCATTTCCTTCTAAAAAGTGATGAATCGATTCTTAATGATGAGCAAATACTTTTAATGCTACCTATCAAAACTGTGTTGGATGAAAGAGGGCACGATTCCCAATTTTTTATGGAAAACTACAAAAAAGGAGTAACATACCTGTGTCAATCAGCACTTCTATTGAATTTTCATTCTGTTCTTCCTCAAGAGAAAATTAGCAACCTCTGTGGATGCTTCTGAAATAGAAAACGTATTCCAGAATAATGAAGTATTTTAGATACCAAATCAATACTTGCTATATTTGAGTGACACTGATTAAAAATACCACTATAAATAAGTAAGAGACATGAAGGGTTCTTTAGATGGTAAAGAGTGGGTGGGACTTGATAGAACTGTTACCATCCTATATCGCAGGAATTCATAATGCAATAGCCAAACCTATGTAAAGCTGGTAAACATTATTTTTCAGCTCTGCGTGAGATGCATGATGCCTCCTGACCTGATTTAAAAAGCCTATTTAGAGGCAAATGCTATAGCTCAAAATGTTATATGGCATTTGGTGAAGGTAAGCAGGTTTACGTCATAAGAATGGGAAAACCCTATGGATTCAGGGAATTCAGAAGATTTTTGTTGTTTTGTTGTTATTAACTTACTTTAGACTTCTGACCAAGGAGGTTATTGAAGACCAATATGTCCAACAGAGATGATAACCTGGACATGAACTAAAGAAACGCATACAGAAGAGCTGTGATAAGACTCCTGTGGTGATATCCCAGCTTCATTTTATCCTATCCTCAAGGTGAACGTGAAGGATTATCAGGAGAGCCTAGGTCATGATTAGGGGAAGGCAAACTCTCAATGTAAGAAAGTAGCAGTTATCGGTAGAGTTATGCTGTGATGTGCCTTCCTATTTAATGAACTGATTTTATTTTGGTCAGGAAGATTGGCTCTGAGCTAACATCTGTTGCCAATCTTCCTCTTTTTTTGCTTGAGGAAGATAAGCCCTGAGCTAACATCTGTGCCAGTCTTCCCCTATTTTGTATGTTGGTTGCTGCTACAGCATGGCTTGATGAGTGGCCTAGGTCTGCACCTGGGATCTGAACCTGTGAACTTGGGCTGCCAAAGTGGAGCATGCTAGACTTAACCACTAGACCATGGGCCCACCCTTAACTGATTTTTTTATAGGTAGTGTATGTAATTTTTTCAATCTAACTTACAAACAAAGCCACAGACTTTGTTTTTGTTAAAAACTAAAAGATGTAAGAAATGCTAAGGTATTTGCTCAAAGACAACATTTGAGCTGCCTACAGCCAGAGACTTGCAGAAGCCATGTGGTCAGACAAATTAGTCAGTCAGTCAGGGAGTCGGCATTTATTGAGTTTTCTCTATGTCTGTGGAAGTTTACAATTAAATCTTAGGCTATAAACTTGGGAGTCATCTTGAATGTGACTTTGGACAGACCACTTAACTTTTCAATCTTTGCTTCTTGCAAGAATAAAATGAGAAGAGAGATTTGCTCTTAGCAGATTCAGATTCATAGCATAACGTGTAAGAGCATAGGCTTTGGGTTCAGACTAAAGGTCACTTGATTCTTGGTCAACATTTCTCAGTTATGTGATATTGGACAAGTCATTTAACCTTTCTATGGTGTCTGATATGTATAAGTACTCCATAAATGGTAGCTATTGTTCATAAGAATGACAGATCAGTTTTATGAAACCTAAACTAATCAGAAAGTTGTGTATAAGTACCAAGAAATTTGTGAGGTTGTTACTACAAATAAAAGTTTTCTAGGATAATTCATGAAAGAGCTGCACTTTATAGAAGAAAGAAGGAAACGTCATTTTCTATGAAAATTTTAAATATGCACACTTAACAACAGAGCTGTGGAATACTGTGGAGATCACAATATGATATATCACAATGGTACGGGGATGTTCATGGCTGATTATTTGAAATAGCAAAGAATTAGGAAAAACTTAGATTTCCGTAATAAATATTATAATTACTAGTTCAATGAGTACGACTGTATTCCAAGATTGTGATAAGCTTTTAAAAATTACTAATTCATTTCTCATAAAACACCTCTGGAGTAGGTACCATTATCATCCCTACTTAACATATAGTCATAGCAAAGAATTATGTATATTTATGTATACTGTCCTGAAATATTGTTCAAGCAAAAATAAGCAAGAGTCAAAATTCCACTACACACACACACATATATATAAAAAGATTATCAGATTGGTTTTGAAAAAATAACCCAACAATAGATTTCTCATAAGAGACTCAGTTTAAATATAAGGACACAGAAAAGCTAAAAGTAAGATAAAAAAAGATATGCCATTCAGACATAACATACAAAAATCAATTTTTTCTATATACCAACAATAAAAACATAGAAAATAAAATATTAAAAATGATATCACCTACAAAGGAATAAAATATATCAAACACTTGGTAGAAAATCAAGCAAAAGATATTTAAAAGTGCTATGCTAAATATGACAAAACATTATTAACATCAGTTAAAGAATACCTAAATAAATGGAGACATATACCATGATGATGGATTAGAGGACTGAGCAGTATAAAGATGTCAATTCTCCCAAAGCTGATCTATAGAGTTGATGCAGTCTCAATCACTATCCTTGCCGGTGTGTGTGTGAGTGTGTGTAATTTGAAAAGTGTACTTTAAAATGTATGCAGAATATAAAAGGTTAAGAATAGCCAATGCAATCTTGAAGAAGAAGAATATAACTTGAAGATCTAAACTACCCAAAATACTAATGACTAATAAATTGGTATTGGTTCAAGGATAGACAATAAGCCAATGAAACAGATTAGAATACAGAAACAGATCCAAACACACAAGGTCACCTGATGTTTGACAAAGCTGACACTACAGTGCAATGGGGAAAGGATGACAATTATTTTTTTCAATAAATGGTGCTGGGTCAATTGGATATCCATTTGGAAACAAATGAATGTTGAACCTTTTATCTCACACCATCCACAATATTCAATTCTAGTTGGATTGTAGATCTAAATGTGAAAGGTAAAAAAATAAAGCTTTTAGGAGAAAACTTAGGAGCATATGTCACGACCTTGGAACAGGCAAAGATTTCTTAAACAGGGCACAAAAAACACTAATCACAAAAGAAAAAAAGGATAAATTGGATTACATTAAAATTAAGAACTTCTGGTCACCAAAAGACACTATTAAGAGACGGAAAAGACAAGCCAGAGTGGGAGAAATTATTTGCACTACATATCAGACAAAGAATTCATACCCAGCATATAAAGGACTCCTACAAAATAACAATTAAAAGCAAACAACCCAACATAAAAATGGATACGACTGAGTGGCACAAAGCAAAAGATGACCAAGTGGCCACCAGAAATCAGGAATGCAAACATTAATTGCAATGAGACCCGTCTTCATGCTCCCCGGGATGGCTCAGCTTGAAATTCAGGCAATATCAAGAGTTGTAAGGATGTGAGGTAACTGCAACTAGCATACATTTCTGGTGGGAGTGTAATTTGGTACAATCACCCTCAAAAACTATTTGGCAGTATCAACTAAAGGTGAATACGTATGTTCCTGTAAAAGCATAACTAACGCTTGGTCCTGCTACCATAATAAATAAGCACATGTATCACTTACACGGAGATGACAAGATCCTTTGCACCCTGAAATACTGAAAGAATAATAGGCCCACCTGTGCAGTCTGGGACTCAAAACAAATGAAACCTTGAACATTTCCTATAAGCCTTGCGTGCTTTGCAAAAACAACTTTTTCTGTGACTTTTGGGCCGCTGATTTTGGAAATAGGCCATGACCTTTGTAAATATGATAATCATGTGCGTACGTTGCTCATTCCCTCCATAAATAGACGAATCAACCAACGTAAACTTGGAAATCCCGAGGGTTTTCTCGCATTCAAACAGCCCCTTGTTTTTTTGTTTTGGTGAGCCTCCTGAAGTCTGAAGCCTTTGTATCACTTTCCAAAGAAACTTCCGTTCTTCTTCAAATCTACAGTCTTCTTTAGACAATCTTAAAACAGTAAATCTGCTTCTAGTTACATACCCAACACAATGAATGAATATGTTTAACAGACATGTATGACTGTTCACAGGAGAAAGGGAATAAATGAATGTGGTATAAAATGGATAAAACAGAATGAATAAATAAATTGTGGTTTATATATTCAATGGATTACTATAGATGTATTAATTCACTGAAATACAACATGAGAATAAAGAAGCTATTGTTGCATGCAACAACATGGATCCAGCTCACAAACATGATTTTGAGCAAAAGAGTCCAGACACACAAAATACTTACTTTATGACTCCATTTATATAAAACTTCAAAACAGGAAAATTTATCTATAGTCGTGGATGTCAGGATAGTGAGATGTGGTTCCCGTTAAAGGTGGACAATGATTAGCCTGAAGAGGGATGTGGGTGTGCTGGGAATATTCTTTCTTGACCCACATGCTGGTCACATGGATGTATTCACTTAATGAAAATTCATCAAAGTTTACACTTAAGATCTGTGCCCTTTTTTTAAGTCTGTCATACTTAAAAATAAAGTTTATTTTAAAAAGGAAAAGGACATAGATTGATGATGGAAAGACTAAAGTGTATGACACGACACATTGCCGTGAGGAGCAGCTCAGTGCCCATGAGGCTGACCGTGAGTGAGGTTGGTCTGGCTTGTGTGGAGAACAGAAGCTGTATGCGTGAAAGAAAAATAAGCTGAACACATTTCTTAGAATCCTTCCTCAAACCCGAGAAGACTGTGGTTGGGGATTACGGAGACGGGTGTCGGGGTTGGTAGTGGTCTGAAATATTCAGGAGAAATAAAGGATTAAATTTCAACCAGAATGAGAAGAGACTTGGGCCTGAGGTGAGAGGAAGGCAAAGGAAAGTCAACGTGTTCGGTCCTGGTTCTAGCCTTGCCTAGGGTTGATGAACAATAAATTT